CTCTGAACAAAAGGGACAGCTGCACAATCAGTGGGATTGGAACTTCTTTGAGTGGTTCCTCACCACCTACCACATGGGTGATGCTGGGCAAATTGCTGGAACTTTCCAGGCTTCAGTTACTTCACCTATAGAAAGGGGTAGAATTCCACCTTCCCGTACAAGATAATAGATATAAAACATTATGCATAAATGTTAGGGGTAGGGGCCGGTGCTATGGCACAGCAGGTTAAAGCCCTAGCCTGCAGTGTCAGCATCTCATATGAGTGCCTATTCGAATCCCGGCTGCTCTGCTTCTGATCCAGCTCCCTACTAATGCGCCTGGGAAAGCAGTAGAAGATGGCCCAAGACCTTGGGCCTCTCCATCCATATGGGAGATCTGGAAAAAGCTCCTGGCTTCGGACCAGCTGAGTTCCAGCTGCTGCAACCATTTAGGGAATGAACCAGCGGACAGAAGACTCTATCTGACTCTACTCCTCTCTGTAACTATTTCAAATAAATAAAATAAATATGTTTAAAATATTAGGGATGAACATGTAAGTATTAGAGGGCTATGTTTATGCAAAGAGTAGCACCTATTCATTTCTAGCCATTGTGTATAACAAAACAACTAATTTAAAGGTTTGTTTGTTTGAAAGGCAGAATGACACAGAGAAAGAGAGTGAGATCTTCCATTCCACCAGTTAACTCCCCAAATGACCACATCAGCATGGCTGGGCCAGGCCAAAGCCGGAATCTTGGAACTCTATCTAGATCGTCCACTGGCTAGCATGGGTTCAAGTACTTGAGCATCTTCTGCCACTCTCTCCCTACACATTGGCAGGGAGCTGGCTGGGAAGCAGAGCTGCCCGGACTCAAACAAATGCTCATAGGGGATGCTGGCATTTCAAGTAGCAACTTAACCAGCTGTACAACACCAGCCCTAAAGGGTTTGTTTTAACAAGACACAGTGCCACTGGCTTTGCTCCATGAAGATAAAGATTGCATTCCCCTTTCTCTGTTAAACCCCTGTGTCGAGTTCAGTGCCTGGAACACAGTAGATGCTCAATAAACAGTTGAGCTGCCGGGGATTGTTGGTTTCTAGGGCCAGAGGCTTACACCATTTCTACCCCACAGCCTGGGTTATTTAGCTGCTGTCTCCTTCTTTTCTCTCCTCATCTACCTCAGTGTCTCTGTGGCCCTCAGGGTCCTCGCAGATGACTGAATGATCTTGGAAGGAGCTGTCCCTGCACTGTGGGGCTGCAGGGGGGCACCTGGGGACTTTCCTGTGGTGAGGACAGCAGTACAGGCCCCACTCCCGGCAGCTGCACAAGCCCTGGGCTGCCCAGGCATAGATGCCCACAGGCACCGCCAGCAACACAACACACAGGACCACTGTGATGTGCAGGAGGCGCTCGCGACCCTCCAGCCCGCCGCTGTCTCTGCCCGTGACAAAGACCACACACTGGCCCTGGTGTGGGGGCTGGCTGCCCAGGCTGATGCATGCCTCGTACTTTGTGCCGGGGAGGAGGTCTTCCACGGCATACGTGTTGATTCCAGGGCCAATGTGGACGACCTCCTTCCAGAGAGCTTCATCCGACGCGATGTAGAGGGTGAACCACTCCTCCTCAGAGCTGTCAGCCACCGCAAGCCATTGCAGCAGGATCCCATGCACTGTCTGCTTGAGGACCCGCAGGTCCACGTAGGCATTGCCCTCCGAGGGGCTAGAAGGAGAGAGGGGTGCAGGCAGGGCCTGGGCAGGCAGGACCTGGAGGGAGATGACGAGGGTGCTCCTGCCCATGGAGTTGGAGGCCAGGCAGGTGTAGTTGCCGCTATCTACAAGGTGGGCAGCAGGGATGGTCAGCTCCGACAGAGCAGCATCTTCTGCAGGAGAAGTCACCACTGGAGGAAAGAGCAAAACAGTTACCAGACGGCAGGAGAGTACCCAGCAATGCCAGGTGTTTGTAATCGCTAATTGAGCACATACGTAATGCCAGGTGTCTGCCTCCCAGTGGGTTCTCAACTCACACACGTGGGAGGTTGAGGCTCGAAGCAACCATCCAACTTGCCCTTAGTGAGAATTGCTCAGAGGCAGGAAGTGATCTGGAACCCAGTTGGACCTCTGGAGACCAGACTTTCAGCTTGAGTAGCTGCTCCCACCAAACTATCTTGGCCTTGCTGAGCCTAATGCTATAGTCTTCTAACGTCTCCACAACTTAATTCTTCCTCTTCTTTTTTTTTTTTCTTTCTCTCTGGCAGGCAGAGTGGACAGTGAGAGACAGAGACAGAGAGAGAAAGGTCTTCCTTTGCCGTTGGATCACCCTCCAATGGCCGCCGCTGCAGCCGGCGCACCGCGCTGATCCGATGGCAGGAGCCAGGAGCCAGGTGCTTTTCCTGGTCTCCCATGGGGTGCAGGGCCCAAGCACCTGGGCCATCCTCCACTGCACTCCCTGGCCATAGCAGAGAGCTGGCCTGGAAGAGGGGCAACCGGGATAGAATCCGGCGCCCCGACCGGGACTAGAACCCGGTGTGCCGGCGCCGCAAGGTGGAGGATTAGCCTATTGAGCCACGGCGCCGGCCCTCACAACTTTATTTCAAGAGTAAAGTCCTACTTCCCAGATATGCAGTGCCTCAGAGCCAAGTGCCCGGGCTCCTATTCCTTGCTCAATTTGAGGCAATCTTTAAAAAGTTCATGAAAAACACATATTAAGAAAAAACTCTGCATGGGTTTAAAAATAAAAAATGCTTGCACCCAAATAAATGTATTGCCTAATTCCATTTGCCACAAACCTTTTGAAGAACCTTTGTATACTGGTCCTAGGCAAGTTGCTTAAATTCTCTTGGCATTAATCTGCTCATCAACAAAATGGGATAACAGTCTTTACCCATAAGCTTGACAGTAAGTTTTCCGTAAGCTTTAGCTGCTGTTACTACTTGGTGTGTGTGTGTGGGGGGGTGTATGGATAGCTGTAACACATTGCCAAAGACAGACAATTTCTGGATGGTGTTCAAAGACACTATGACAATAACCCTGCATTTCTCCTTTTTTGGCATTTAATTTCAAGTCAACAAAATGTAAGCAAAATGAAGAGGAAGAGTGAAAAATGTGGTTAATTGAGTATTCTTTTAACCATGTACAACAACTACTTAGGCAACCAGCTACAGTTCTCACATTTTAGGCAGATGTGTTATGAATGGGGCACAGAAAAAGATGTAGGAATCCACAAAGGTCTTGCATCTCGGGATACCCTGGGGAGGCCATCCCTGGCTTTGTGACATGCCCACCCTACAGGTGTCTTTGAAGTTGATTCCAGTTGAGCGATGAAAGCAGAGCACAGAGCTCCAGGGAAGGAGAGGAAGGTTTGGGTCTCAAGCCTGAGGCCCGTGGAGTTCACCTCCCCTCCCCAGGCCTCCCCCAGCATTACAACTCCGGGCCAGTAATGTCAAAATGCAGTCAGTATCTAGTACTCCCCAACCTTGCCTGCTGGTAAGAATTAGCAGGGACAGGGAGGGGACACTCACTGAAATATGTATTCTCAGTTCCTACCCTGGACCCATGGAGTTCAAATCTCCAAGAAAGAGGCTTAGAAATCTTATTTCAAGTAGGCACCTCAATTTATACCTGGGAAATTTTAGGAAATAAGTGATGATAATCTCTAAAATCCATCCTAATCATAAATTCTAAAATATGTAGTATATTGTTTTGAAAACACTCAAAAAACTTGTTCATTTGAATCTATAATATTTATAAAACATGTTAAATCAGCCTAGTGTATGTATTTATTTGTGTATATATACATACATTCTAGAGAGATCTCTATGCATTAAAATAATGCTGATATGAGCAGGCATCTGATGCAGTAGTTAAGACACCTCTTGAAAAGCCTACATCTCATATCGGAGAGCCTGGGTTCAAGTTCCAGCTCTGTTCCTGATTCTAGCTTCCTGCTAACACACATCCTTGGGGGCAGCAGGTAATTAAATAGTTGGGTCTCTACCACCAATGTGGGAAATCTAGATTGAGTTCTATGCTTTAGATTTTAGCCCAGCTCAACCCTAGCTACTGAAGGTATTTGGGGAGTAAGCCAATAGATGGGAGCACACACACTCTCTCTCTCTTTTTCTCTGTGTCTTTGGAAAAAAAAAACAATTAAAATAATGCTGAAAATGGAACACTATCCTAGAATCTTACATGTTGCAATGAGATTAATGTAGGCATAACTCAGTCTCACCTGCACTGTGCTTCATGATTGAGCCATCTTAGAGCTTCTCTAATGAGGGTGAGGTTGCTATAGACCTGTCCATTACCCTCTAGATAATCTGAGATGGTGCATGTCACTTACCATCAAATTCTCTCCACATGCTCAGAGGGTAAGTCCATGCAATGGTGGGTGAGGGCCGGGCCTGTGCCAAGCATCTCAGGGTCACATTCTGTCCCACCTGGATGGTGACTTTGACTCTAGAAGTTGAGATCCGTGGCTTCATGCAAGCACTGAGCTCAATTTCATGAAAAAGCTGTCCTGCCTTGGAGAGAGGGCCCTGGCATATCATGTATGAATTCACCAGGATGAATGGGAGGCTAATAGACCTGAAGAACTGGACAAGTCCCCTAAGGCGACAGTCACAAATCCAGGGGTTGTCATGCAGTGCCAGCACCATGCTGGAGAGAACCTCACCCGTGCACCCAGGCTGTCGGCATTTCTGGTAGGCTGGCCAGTTCAAGAAGACACTCTTGGATACCACTGTAAGCCTATTGGAGGATAGGTCAAGATAGGTCAGGTTGACCAAGAACTGAAAGGCTAGCTCAGGGAGTACATCAATCCTGTTGTGTTTGAGATCCAGGACACGCAGGAGAGGGGTGGCACGGAACACTGTCCATGGTACTGACCGGAGCTTGTTCCCCTCCAGTCTCAGCTCCCTCAGTTGTGGCAGGTGCTCCAGGGCTCCTAGGTGGATCACAGTGACATTGTTAAAGTTGAGCCAAAGGTACTCCAAGGTGCTCATGTTAATGAAAGACCCTCGGGGCAATTCAAATAAGGGGGAGTTTTCAATTCTCACTCGCTTGAACTCTTCAGGAAGGTTCCCTGGGAGCTCACTCAAAGAGACAGAGATGCACTGCAGAGTCCTGTACAAGAAACCAAAAAAGCTTTCAGAAGAACATCAAGGAGCTGAGAAGCGGATCCGGCTGTTCCTGGCATTAGACATGCAAATCAGATGAAAAAATATTCACTTGAGATAAAAGGGTCAGGCCCTTTTTGATAAAAATGAACAGTTTACTAAAATCCAGCAATGACTGGAAGGGCCCTCATAGGTACTTTGCTGATTTCCCACCAATTCTAGGCCTGCTTCCACTCTACATCATCCCCAAGGAATTCCCAGCCCCTTTAACCCTCTGGCATCTTGCCCACACAGCGCACCTGCCAAAACTCTCCTCTGAGCAGGTGCATCCTCGCAGACAGAAAGGCTGGGCTGCTTGTATATCCAACAAGACAAGAACCATCAGGAAGTCACGAAACACTGAGGCCATATTTCTCCATAAGAAACTACCTTGTGTATTTTGAGTAAGTTTAGCCCCAGCTTCTGAGTAGCGAATCCTATTATGAATAATCCCTGGGGATGTAGGTCAGCACAGCTGTGGCAAAGCCCTGGGAGGCTCTGAGGATTGTGATGGCCCAGATCACAAGCTCAAAAGAAATGCATGCAGAGGGAGCTATGTCTCCTAAGTAAGACTACAAAATTCACCCTTCGTCTGATTCTTTTCTAAAAGATTTATTTATTTGTCTAAAAGGAAGAATGAGAGAATGAGAGAGAGAGAGAGAAAGGAGGGAGAGACAGAAAACGATCTTCCATCTGCTAGATCACTCCTCCAAAGGGCTGCAACGGCCACGTCTGGCCCAAGCTGAGGCAGGAGCTGGGAACTGCATTATAGTTTCCCACATGGGTGGCAGGGGCTCAAATATTTTGATCATCTTCCACTACCTTCCCAGATGCAATGGCAGAAAGATGGACTGGAAGCAGAGTAGCCAGGGCTTGAACCAGCACCCTGATGTGGGATGCCAGTATTGAAAGCAGTGGCTTCGCCTGCTGAAGCACAATGCCAGCCACTTTTTCTGGTTCATGAGTCAGGAAAGCAAGCTCTAAGTCAGATGTCCAGTTGCACCCTGGTTCTCAGTCTCTTATAAAGAAGTCAGAGAAATAACCAAGTAATGCTATACTGAACACCACAGTACAGAATACTTGTCCAGAGTCCACCTGATACGTCATCATGCACAACTGGCTCCTGGCACCTGCATTTCCAGTCATCTTCTCAAAGCGAAAGCAGATGATGACTTACAATTAACTCTGTGACCATTGCTATCACTTGTTCTTCCCCAACACCTCACATGGTATAGCTCTGCTTCTTCTGCATCAAGACAGCTGCACCTGCAGCTTGGATGACCAGAGTCAGAGAGGCCTATGGAGCAGTTTCAAATACAGATGGCATTTTCTGATGAAACCAGAGCTTTTTTCTTTGCTTGGATTTTTCCTGAATGCTGTGTATTTCACACCACAAAAAGGAAAGACATGCATACAAAAGATACGTGTGATGCTGGATACTTGCTCTGAGCCACATACTTGCTAAGCACAAGGAATGCAGGGGTGAGCGAAACTGATACAGACCCTGCTTCTTCTTTCTTGCTTATGCTCCCAAATCTTGATAGCTTAGGGTTGTCATTTAACTTCTGTGAGCCTCAGTTTCTATTCACATCCATTTGAAATACAGAGCAAGAGAGAGATCTTCAACCCTCTGGTTCATTCCCGAAATGCCCACAATAGCCAGGGTCAGGCTAGGTTGAAGCTACAAGCCTGGAATTCCATTTGGGTCTCTCCTGTTGATGTCAGGGGGCCCAAGCACTTGAGCTATCACCTGCTGCCTCCCAGCATGCATCAGCAGAAAGCTGGATCAGAAGCTGAGGTGGTGGAACTCAGTCTGGCACCCCAATAAGGGAGATGAGTGTCCCACGTGGCAGCTTAAACCACTGCACCACAATGCCCACCTGGTGAGCCTGTTTCTCCTTCACAAAGTGAGGATATTAATAAAACTTCACAGTGTTTCTCAGAAAGTTTAAGATGACATAAAATAAGAACACCCAGCATACAGTAGAAGCCTAAGAATTCACCTCCCATGCCAACAGATTCTTCAAGACCAGAAACACTGGGGGCACTTCCAAATGAATATTGAAATTCATGGGTTCCTGAAGCTCATGATATACATTATACTCTACAAAGGGCCTCAGTGAATAAAATCCGCTTAGTAGCCAACCAGTGAGGGGGGAAGTGGGTCACCAACTAAGCTGATTACCCACCAGGCTTTCCACCCTCTCCAGATCTGTTTGCTCGAGTTCCCCTACAATCCGGGTAGATCTTTGGAGTTCCTATGGAGGTAAACCCACAAAACAAGAATTCTGTGAGCACACAGATTGTGGCAGCAAGAAGTAGGCACTAGCCATGCCCTTTCCAAGGCAGGCCACATCCAGTGCCTGAGGGTGGGGAGGGCAACAGGGCCTGGCCAGTCTGGCCTGATGGGAACAACTCTGATGAGCACTCTTTATTCCAGGGTCTTCTGCCAAGTTTGCCACGTTGTCAGGCTTGCTCCATGGAATTATTGTGTTCTACCTACAGATATCACTAAGCACTGTGAATTCCTTTCCTTCCCCTTCCCCCAAAATACAAACACTTACAGAGGCTTTCTCCCCTACAATTTTCTCTCTGTCCATCCCATGCCAACCTTTTCAAATGAATCCAGTTCTCAACTTTCCAGAGGCTCATGATGAACAACAACTCGGGGGATGGCATTGTGGCATAGCAGGTAAAGCTGCCGCCTGCAATGCCAGCATCCCACACGGGCGCCAGTTCAAGTCTCAGCTGTTCCACTTCAATCCAGCTCCCTGATAATGCCTTAGGAAAACAACAGAGGATGATTCAAGTGCTTGGGCCCCTGTGTGCCCACGTGGAAGATCTTGAAGAAGCTCTTGGCTCCTGGCTTTGGCCTGGCCCAGCCTCCAACCATTGCAGCCATCTAGGGAGTGAACCAATGGATGGAAGATATCTGTCCCTCTCTCTCTCTCCCTCTCTCTCTCTCTCAGCCTAAATTTCTAATAAATATATAAATCTTTAAAAAAAAAGAACAACTACTGGCTATCTCTGGACCTCTTCTTCTCTCTTGACTCCCCATCCTCTGATTTCCTTATGTGGCACAAGGGCATAAAGGGTACTTAGGCTGGGGCTTAAGGCAGGAAATTAGCATAATTAAGGTTAGCTTGAGTCATGTCATTTCACTAAGTTAACCTGAGGTTAAGGGCTAAACCCAAGAACTCCAACAACCAGGGGTGTGTGTGTGTGTGTGTGTGTGTGTGAGAGAGAGAGAGAGAGAGAGAGAGAGAGAGAGAAAGACAGAGAGACAAAGACAGAGAGACAGAGAGGGAGAATATTGTCCCCTTTTCTCCTCTGCAGGATGCTTTTACAAACTTGGCCCTTAGAGTTCTTGGTAGAGACAGAGCCATAGGAGATGAGGTACTCTGTGCTTTTGAAATAGTTTGGTGTGAGTGGTTGCTGGAGGCAGCTCCCCCGTTTGTCTTACTACAACTCTAATAAGAAAGAATTCTGTTTATACAATTGGAAAATGCCACTCCCTTCTCCAGTCTTAGCAGAACTTCAGCATAACTCAGGGAGAGAACTGGGCAATTCATCAAGGAGCAGACACACTACCCTCCCTTTCACTCATGCTCCGGCCTCTTCTCACCCCTCCATGTGCTACCACCCACATCTGAGATGGGCCCTGGGCTCCCACACCCTGCAGGCACCTGTGGGAAACACACAGAAGACAGTACTTCCAAGCCCCCTTAGAATTGTCAGGCCCCTCACTCCTGCCCAGCTAAAGAAAGGTGATATGGAAATGACCTTAGAAAAGTCCCGACATGATCCTCCAGTTTCTCTTTTTCCTGCTTGCACCAACTGTTGACACTCCAGAGGGTGCAGCCCTCATTAGCCTGGGTCCCTGAGCAGGTGAGTAAGGACCCTCCCTCCCTCCATATCTCCTACCAACTCAAGTAGACTCTAAGAGCAGAGATGCACTTTTTCGTGTTAAGCCACTGAAACTTAAAGCATAAGCCTAACCTATTCTGACCACAAGACTCTTGCAACTAAATAAAACAAGCCCAAGTGCTTGTCAGTTGATTGCTGTCTTTCTAGACAATACAATGGATAAAGTAAAAATTTCCAGCTCTTGTCCACTGAACAAGGGGCCCTTGGAGCCATTTGACTGCTAGCCTACATCCACTTTCCAGGACACAATTTCTGCTCTGTGCCTTTTTGCACTTAGACAAGCAACTGCAGGTAACTGATCTACCCTCCACCTCGACAACAGGAATACAACCATGTCATAGTCAGAAAAAGACTTGATGAGGTCATGATTCCAACCAACCTCAAGGGTGGTATGCTGTGGGACCAGCATACCATCATGGTCCAGGCTGGCTTCAGCTCAGGAACACCAGAAATCCTATCGCCCTGACACTCAGAGGGCAGTTGATTTTCAGGGACTGACTCGCACTAATCAAATTCATAGACTAACAGACTAATGTATAAACCAGTCACTAGTTCATTTTATGCCAGGAGATTTTGTTTTTCCTGGTACCTGAAATACTCGTGATACAATCCAGAATAATTATTCCCTTCAAGAGCAAGCCAGGGAAGACAGAACACATAAAGGATGCTGGAGAGATGGGTATTGGGAGGGTGACCATCTTGGAGGCCTTTCCAGCAAGACTGTGATGATAATAAATCATCAGAAAGTTTGAGTTTCCTCTCACCCCTCCTCTCTAGCTCAGTTAACATGGAACAAATTCAAACAAAGTCTTGCTTTCACATTCCTTAATTTTTTCAAAGTTCAATAAAACAGGCTGCATATTAGTTGTCTTAAGACCAGTAATGATTCAATACTATTTGACTCCCAAGATAGAGCAGAAGTGCCTTTACAAACCTAAGATAAGGGGTTGGCAAACCACATCCCATGGGCCCACTCCATACTGTCACCTGTTTTTGTAAATAACATTTTGCTGGACCGTAGCCATGTACATTAGTTTAACATATTGTTTATGGTTACTTTTGTATTCCATGAGCAGAGTTGAGTTACAGCAACAGAGCCTAAAATATTTGCCATGTGGCTTTCATTATAGGAAAATTTTCTGACTCCTTATGTAGACAACATCCTCATAAATGTCCAAATAATTTCTCTTACCCTTGGCAATGGCCCACAAGTTATAGTCTGATGCACCTTCCAGGTGATGCTGGATTCCAAGGTATGGAAGCTCCAAGTTCACATGTGTAGGTGTTCTCATGGTTCTGGTCCCAGTGGCTCAAAAATAATCCATGTCCATAGTGAACCTGCTGTGGGCTGCATTTCAGAGATCAATACTGAACACAGACCCTGAGTCCAGCCAGAAAGTTGTCCAAGATCTGGATTCCAAAAAGTAGCCCAACACTCACCTGCATAAATTCTTCAACTCTTTGGTCCTCAATTTCACATCTGTAAAATCAAATAGCCCAGCCTCCACTGCAGAGTGACAAATACAACAGCTGTGAGAAAACTAGGGGAAGTACATTGCCATGATTTTCATAAATGTGAGATGTGACATGGAATATACTAACTTTAGAAATCACAGAATCACACTGGTTTACTTCCCGTTAACAGTCAACATGATATGGAGGCTCCTGACTGACACTAGTAAAATAATTCTCTTGTGTGTCAGAATGTCCACAGTTGTTACCCATACAGACTTGGAACCAGGTACCCTGGATGCTACTCTTACCTGTGCTCAGCCCAGCAGACATAGAACAAACAGAGCCTTCCTCTGAGAATGTTCCTTTTCTCCTATGCAACACCTCAGTGGATTCCCAGCCTTAACAAGACTGCACAGGATCCGCCTTGGAGGTGGAGGTGGCTCGCCTAGTGACCTTGCAACCTCTAAGATCAAAGTGGGCTTCAGTAACAATCACAAAGGCTGCTCCACAGGCAGGGGTGAGCCATGTGCCAGACATCACTGTGTGTGACAAGGCCCCACCCATCCACCACCAAAGGTCTCTCAGATCCCTCCAGCCTGACATTCGGAGAGCAAATGAACAGTGGTCCCTTGGGCATCACCCAAATCTCTAGACTTTATTGAAAAATCAAATGATTATCTCTAGCTAGTCTCCAGAGAATAGAAGTTAGAATTCAATGAGGGCACAGTGTGTTTATGTGTATGTATGTGTGAGTGTGATTACAAATACAACAAATGCATAGCCAGGCTTGTGTGGGAGCGCCTGCGAACTAGTATTCATGTAATATAAAGGCAGTAGAGGAGTGTGGTGGGACTATAAACAGTGAAGCCCAATTGCCTGGTCCAAATTCCGGAGCTGCCATCCTTGGCTGTATACTGTGGGCAATGGAGTTGATTCGATCCCAGTCCAGCAAATATTTCCTGTTCCACCTTCACCTCCATGGGAGAAGTGTCCTTCCTTGCCGCAGTAAAGCTGGGTTTGGCCATGAGACTTGCTTTGGCAGAGACAACATGGGCAGAAGTGACAGTGTGTCAATTCTGAACCAAGAACTTAAGAAGCATTGCATGATTGTGCTCATCCCCTCTGATGGCATCAGACCTCAGCACACAGAAGTCTGCCCCAGGTAGCCACTGCTACCCTCCAGCCTGGGGCCCACATGACAGACACAGAGCAGGGCCTCCCCAGTCATCTATCAGTCCTGCGAGTGTGGACAGTGTTCTATGCTGTAGACCACAGAGAGTTTGTATTTATTTGTTACACAGCAAAAACCGATAGATGCAGGCAAGGTACTTAACCTCCCTGGTTTTTTCCTCCAGGAGATGGGGAGAAGGGTGGAGCCTGCTGCAAATAGTTGTTATGAGAATTAAACAAGCGTATGCATACAAAGCACTTAGGACACTGGCTGGCACATCTTTAAGCGCTTCATCCGTGTTAGCTGTTGCTGCTACTGCTGTTGTTTTGAGAGTATGAGCAAGCAGACCCGAGCGGGGTGAGCACACACTCGGGCGTCACTGGGAGCACGTGAGGATCGAGAAGGGAGAATGGACATGGCAGGTGTGGGAGCAGGAGGGCCACTCCCTCAGCAGAAGTACTCATTGAGCCGTCGGCCCCCTCGGGTCCCCAAGGCCTGAGAGTCCAGGCTGGATCGGGCAGACAGGAGCCTGTCGGCTTCGCTAAGGCTGTTCCGGGACAGCTCCTCGGAGCCGTCGTCGCTGTGGCCCAGCCTCTCCAGGTTGACGTAGGCGCCCGTGGCCTCGGTGGAGCGCGCAGAGCGGCACTTGCGGCAGCGCCTGCGGAGCGCTCCGCAGCAGACGAGTAGCGTGGGAGGCAGCGCGATGATGGCGGCCACGCTGATCACCACCACGTTGATGAGCCGCTGGGTGCCCTCGGCGTCCACCACCTCGTCGGTGGAGAAGATGACGCACTCCTCCTTCCGGGGCAGCAGGCCCCGCGCGCACACGCAGGCTACGTATTTGGTCTTGGGCGCCAGGCCCTCGATGGTGACGCTAGTCTTCCCTGGCGGCACCATCACCCGCCGCATGTTGCGCTGCCCAAAGACGGCGTAGAGGACATTTAGGGCCGTGGTGTTCCCAGCCTGGGGGCCCTTCCACACCAAGGACGCGCTGTGGTAGGTGTCCCCCACCACCTTGAGAGACCTCACCGTCTGGGATCCCACTTGCCCCTCCGAGAGCTCTCCCGGGGCCCCCAGGTGGAGGTGCTGGAGCCCGAGCTCCTCCTTCACGCCTGGCTCTGTGGCGGCCAGGCCAGCAGACTCAGCAAGGTGGGGCACGTGCCTGGCCACCAGCTTGTTGTTGTAGGCAGCGGCTTCGGGCCCCTCGCCCATCCGTGCCCACAGAGCACCAGGGCTCCCTCTGGGTGCTGCGGGAGTCTGTGGCTCTGTGACCAGCAGGGAGATGAGGGTCTCCGTGGCTCCCAGAAAGTTCTTGGCCTGGCAGATGTAGTCTCCCGAGTCCGAGTGGGACACTTCAGGCAGGCCCAGCAGAGTCCAGCTCGTGCCGTCGCCAGAGAACTCCTGGTGCACTAGGGGGAGAAGAGGCCACGGGCAAAAGAGAATGAGTGGGCCCATCTGCCCCAAGCTCCCCTCCAGGGCCAAGTCTACAGGCCCTGGGCTGCACACGCTCCCCTGAAGATCCTGGCATGTTGAGAAAGCACTGGCAGTCACCTGACTTTTCTCAGATCAGCCAAGGGGATAGAGATGACCTAGGCTCAGCCTTGGGAAGCCCCTGAGGGCCCCCTGTTGAAGAAGTACCTAAGAATGATGAGCTGTCCAAACTGTTCATCAGAGCTCTGGATGTTTTCCGAGGCAGTCCACACCATGCGCCCTCCCACCAGAGGAAGTAGGCAGGTGCATGGGGGGTAAGAGGGTCTGTCGTCGGGGGGAGTGCCCAGAGGCAGTGCTGGAAGTGCAAGGCCCATCTTTGCCTTCCCGCTTTGCATTGTGGAGCTCATGGTACCGTTCTGTCTGCCAATTGGTTTCAGACCCCCATCCCACAGCAGAGGTGAGCCACCCCTGCCCATGCGGCCTCGCAAAAACAGGACACATCAGAGGCTGTTAAAGTGTGTGGGGGTCTCAGCTCCCCATCAGAGGCCAATCAAGTAGCCTTTCAGGGCCTCAGTTTGCTTGTATGTGAAGTAAGATTGATAATCAGGTTGCCCTTTGAAGTCCAGCACCATCAGGCACATAATTCAAAACCATGCACGTGATTATGCACATAATTCATACACCCTCATGAGGAGTTCAGCAAATGGTAACTCCTCTCATTACTTACTCTTGGCAACATTGGCTTAGTACCTAAAACTGGGAAATTAACATTCAATATTAAATATAATCAGGGTTGGCATTGTGACATAATAGGTTGAGCCTCCACCTATAGCACCAGCATCCCATATGGGCGCCGGTTTGAGTCCCAGCTGCTCCACTTGCAATCCAGTTCCTTGCTCATGGCCTGGGAAGGCAGTGGAAGATGGCCTGAGTGCCTGGGCCCCTGCACCCGTGGGGAAGACCCAGAAGAAGCTCCTGGCTCCTGTTTCAGCCTGGCCTAGCCTTAGCCATTGCACCCATTTGGGGAGTAAAGCAGCAGATGGAAGACCTCTCTCTGTCTCTCCCTCTCTCTGTCTATAACTCTGCCTCTCAAATAAATATATCTTTTAAAAAATATTAAATATACTCAGCTTTTAGTGCTTCTCAGGGCGGGCCCTATGACTCTGACAGAGGGGCTAACAGGATGACACAGTGCAGGCCGAGAACCCTCTTCCTCTTCAAATCCACTGCTCCCATGCCTTGCCTGTATATAAATCCCACGCAGGTCCGCTCAGAAAGATGAAGTCCAGCCTTATTTAGACTACCTCCCTCTGACCCTGCCTGCTTCCCACTTCAGATGTAGACCCTCCCGCCGGTCTGGGGGCTCAGCACGGCAGCCCCTGGAGCTTGCATACCTGTGCCATTGAGTGGGCGTCCATTAGCTCTCTTCCAGCTCATCTCGGGGCCAGGGACACCCGTGGCCCCACAACGTAGAAAGACTGTGCTGCCCAAAGGGGACCTGATGCTGGCCACGCCTGGACGGAGCTCTGGTCCCTGGCACTTTCGCAGTTCCAGCTGGCTGAAGGCTACTCCAGCCAAGCTTCGCGGGCTAGCACACCGCAGCCTAGCCTCAATGAAGATCAGATTTGGGGCCCAGTCTTCCAGGAGTCCAACCAGGTCATAGAGTCGGCAGTCACACATCCAGGGGTTGTCCTGCAGCCCTGCAGGGGTGAGAGATGAGATAAGAGGTAAGCCCTAGATATTCAGATTCCCAGGCCCGGCTCTCCTTCCCCTTGGGGGTCAGCAGAGCAGGCCTCCAGGCCCACCCAGTTCCTTGCGTTAAAGCTGATTCTTCATCATGAGCGCTGGCATCACCTCCCTCTCAGGGTTGCTGTACGATAAAGCATTAGGCCCTAGGCAATCACTGCTGCCTAGGTAGAATTCCTTTGTGAAATGCAACGTGAAGGCCGTTTCGGCCCCCAGGGACTGTTGTTAAATTTGACGGTGAGTCTAAGAATCAAATCAGTAACATTTGATGTCTGCAGGCATCTATCTGATATGTTTGGAAATGGGAATGTATCCTCCACACACACACACACACCAGTGGCTGTTGCCTTGGTTAAATGCATTTAATGATACACCTGCAACCCAATGATCATTGATGCCCAGTTCTTTACTAGTGAGCTACCTGGCTTTCACCTGTTACAAAAGGCTCCCAAAAGAATTAATGCAAAAGGCAAATTTAAACCATGGTGAAACTTTCACCCACTTGACTGGCACAAGTTAAACATTTTGGCTATTTCAACTGTTAGCTCTGCAAAGGAGTAGATCTCATCTATCCTGTTCACTGCCTTATTCCTAGCACCTAGATTAGAAAGCACTCAAAAATACTTGCAGAGGGGCCCGCACTGTGGCACAGCAGGCTAAGCCACCACTTGCAAAGCTGGCATTCCATATTGGAGTGTGGGTTCGAGTCCCAGCTGCTCCACTGCCAATCCAGCTCCCTGCTAATTGTGCCTGGAAAAGCAGCAGAAGATGGCCCAAGTGTTTGGGCTCCTGCCACCCATGTGGGAGACCAGGACGGTGTTTCTGGCTCCTGCCTGGTCTAGACCAAGCTGTCTGAGGAGTGAACCAGAGGATGGAAGATTCCTCCCCTACCCCTGCCTTTCAAGTAAATAAATTTTTTAAAAAATACCCACAAAGTGAACATATGAGTGAGTGGTTTCACATACCACTGGTGGGGACTGAGAATTGGTCCAGCCCTGTTAGAAAACATCTGATTTTTTTTTAAAGATTTATTTATTTATTTGAAAGTCAGAGTTACACACAGAGCGAAGGAGAGGCAGAGAGAGAGGTCTTCAATCCACTGGTTCACTTCCCAATTGGCCACAAGGGCCGGAGCTGTGCCAATCTGAAGCCAGGAGCCAGGAGCTTCCTCCAGGTCTTACCATGTGGGTGTAGGGGCCCAAGGACTTGGGGGGCCATCTTCTACTACTTTCCCAGGTCACAGCAAAGAGCTGGATCGGAAGTGGAGCAGCCGGGACTAGAACCGGCGCCCATATGGGATGCCGGCACTGCAGACGGCAGCTTTACCCACTATGCCGCAGTGCCGGCCCCAAAACCACCTGATTTTAAAATGACTAATATGGCCGGCGCCGCGGCTCACTAGGCTAATCCTCCGCCTAGCGGCGCCGGCACACCGGGTTCTAGTCCCGGTCGGGGCGCCGGATTCTGTCCCGGTTGCCCCTCTTCCAGGACAGCCCTCTGCTGTGGCCAGGGAGTGCAGTGGAGGATGGCCCAGGTGCTTGGGCCCTGCACCCCATGGGAGACCAGGAAAAGCACCTGGCTCCTGGCTCCTGCCATCGGATCAGCGCGGTGCGCCGGCCGCAGCGCGCCAGCCGCGCCGGCCATTGGAGGGTGAACCAATGGCAAAAGGAAGACCTTTCTCTCTGTCTCTCTCTCTCACTGTCCACTCTGCCTGTCAAAAAATAAATAAATTAATTAATTAATTAAATAAAATGACTAATATGGCCGGCGCCACAGGCGCCGGCACACCAGGTTCTACTCCTGGTCGGGGCGCCGGATTCTGTCCCGGTTGCCCCTCTTCCAGGACAGCTCTCTGCTGTGGCCAGGGAGTGCAGTGGAGGATGGCCCAAGTGCTTGGGCCCTGCACCCCATGGGAGACCAGGAGAAGCACCTGGCTCCTGCCTTCGGATCAGCACGGTGCGCCCGCCGCAGCGCGCCGGCCATGGCAGCCATTGGAGGGTGAACCAACGGCAAAGGAAGACCTTTCTCTCTGTCTCTCTCTCTCACTGTCCACTCTGCCTGTCAAAATAAAATAAAATAAAATAAAATGACTAATATGCACACTCCATGATCAAACAATTGCACTTTCAGTTCCTGTCCTGCTGAAACATTCAGACACACTCAGAAGGATGCGGTGCCAAGAATATGCTCTGTGGCATCCCAAGTGTTGGCAAAGTAATGGAACAATGTGAAGTCCACTGAAGGGAGGATAACTAAATAAACTACAGCACAGTATGTTGTAGAACACTGTGTAGCTGTTTAAAATGAACTTGAGTCATTTGTAGTAATTAAGAAATATCTCCAAGATACATCACTCGGGTGCAATGATGCTAATATATATAATGCAATAGAATGTTATGGCACACACACATATAACTTTCTGTCTGCATGTACTGTCTTCAACATTTTCTAATATTTTAAATGTTTAGATATCATTATGTATGACTTGCATAACTCAAATTCATTTTGCAGGGTGAGCTGTGCCTCACCGGTCAACCTCAGGGTCCAACAGGTAGCTGAAGCAAGAGAGGCCTCCTGGTTCCCCTGGTTAGCCAACAGGATGAGAGAAAAATGACAGAGGGGCTGGCTGCTGTACTGCGATAACTGGGAATTGGGAAGCTGAGCCAGGAGGGCCGCCTGCTGGTTGTGTGGCCCAGAAGGCCTCTAGCGTCTCACTCTCCCTATTGGTGACTGTTGCGCTCTGCCCTGGGGCCTGCTACCCTTGTGGATCTCATTCAGTTCCCCAGATAAAGAATTGGGACAGGGCCGGCGCTGGGGCATAGCAGGTAAGGCCAACACCTGCAGTGCCGGCGTCCAGTATGAGTGCCGGATCGGGCCCCAGCTATTCCTCTTCCGATCCAGCTCTCTGCTATGGCCTGGGGAAGCAATAGAAGATGGCCCAAGTCCTTGGGCCCCTGCACCCGCGTGGGAGACCTGGGAGAAGCTCCAGGCTCCTGGCTACGGATTGTCCCAGCTTCTGCCATTGAGGCCATCTGGGGAGTGAACCAGCGGATGGAAGTTCTCTCTCTCCCTCTCCCTTTTCTTCTCCTTCTCCCTCTCAAACAAATAAAAAATCTTAAAAAAAAAAATCTGGACTCAGAGACGCTCAGTAACTCGCCTAAGACCCCAAGACCCCCAAGACCCGCTGTGGTGGCTCCAGGCTCCATGCATCTCTTACCTAGGACCAGTCTGGCGCGATGGCTCGGCGGGAAGAGCTCAGCCTTCATGGGAACCCAGGTGAGAAGCAGCTCCTGTGGTAGCCTCATCAGCTGGTTGCTGGAGAGGTCGAGGAAGGTGAGGTTCCCCAGGAAGCGCGCGGCCTCAGGTGGCACGGTGGAGAGGCGATTGGCCTGCAGGTCCAGCAGTCGAAGCTCCGGGACATCCCTGAGCGCGGCCCAGGGGAAGGCGGCCAGGCGGTTCCCAGGCAGCCGTAGCTCACGCAGGCGCCGCAGGCCTCGGAGCATGAGGGCGCTGAGCTCGTTGAGGACGTTGTAGGGCAGCCACAGCTGCTCCAGGCGGCCCAGCGACCGGAAGGCTTCGCCAGGCACCCTGCGCAGGGCTGTGCGCTCCAGGCATAGTCTGCAGGTGTCCGGCGGGACCGACGCTGGGGGCAGGGTCATGTCGGGGTCGCTGCACACCACCGTCCTGCTCACAGAAATGGGCGCTCTTTGAGCAAGGGTTTTTGCCAGGTCAAGGATTCCACCCCAATCCCGGCCGCGGCCACCTTCCTCCCTGATGGCCCCAGGTCTGCGTGAACGCAGGACGCCAATCCCAGTGTCCAGACCATGCTGGGCTCTGGAGACGGGCGACCAGAACACGCAGCCTCGCATTTTCATGGTGGTGGTGCAGGGGGGCGGTGGCTCTTGCTTGCAGGATCCCAAGAGGGCCATTTGGTCCTCACTGGTCTGCAAGATTTCATGCGTGGACCATGTCCCATTGCAGCCCACAGCACCTGCTGCAGTGCACTAAGACAGAGGGGTAGTGATTAGTCCTGCAGTCTGTTGCCTGGTTGCATTGCCTCTATGTGTGCAGAGCGTTCCTCTGTTCAATGGTATACATATTTTTTGCAGCCATTTTTGCTTTTATCATTTTTTTTAAAGATTTATTTTATTTGGGGCCGGCGCTGTGGCTCACTTGGTTAATCCTCCGCCTGCAGCACCAGAGTCCATATGGGTACGGTGTTCTAGTCCCAGTTGCTCCTCTTCTGGTCCAGCTCTCTGCTGTGGCCCAGGAGGGCAGTGGAGGATGGCCAGGGTGTTTGGGCTCCTGCACCCGCATGGGAGACCAGGAGGAAGCACCTGGCTCCTGGCTTCAGATCAGTGCAGCGCCGGCTGTGGTGGCCATTTGGGGAATGAACCAGTGGAGGGAAGACCTTTCTCCCTCTCACTGTCTATAACTCTACCTGTCAAATAAAAAAATTATTTTATTTATTTGAAGGCAGTTACAGAGAGAGATCTTTCATCTGCTGGTTCACTCCCCAAATGACCACAGTGTCTGGGGCTGGGTCAGGCCAAGCCTGGAGCCAGGAACTCCATCCGGGTCTCCCACGTGGGTGCAGGGGCCCAAGGACTTGGGCCATCTTCCAGTGCTTTCCCAGGCCATAGTAGAGAGCTGGATTGGAAGTGGAGCAGCTGGGACTCAGGCACCCATATTGGATGCTGGCATTGAAGGTGGCAATGTAGGTGGCTTAACCTATTACACCACAACACCAGCCCCTCATCTTTTTTTTTTTTTTTCTAAAAAACATGCCAAGGATGGAAGCTTCTCCTGACACAAAGGGACCATGAGATGATCAAGCTGTTTAAAGTCTGGGACTTGGCACCTCCACAGTTGGGTTCATACTTGCTGCTGTGCGTCCTTTAGTATGTTTGTAACCTCTCTTTTCTTCATGTGCCCATGATCACAGTCTCCAAGCTCATCATGCTGCCTTCTTGAATGACCCCAATACTATTAGCACTGTCACAAATTTTTGCGCATTGACATTGTGGGTGGAATGGGTCCGTCATTAGCCCCTTGCAATGCATCTTCTGCCCAAACAGTGGCTTTTTAAACCTTGTCCCTTTCAGCTCGAGTCTAAAGCTGTGGATGGAGAAACATCAAGAAGTGGTCCACACTCTCCAGGAGCCTGCCATCAGCGCTGAGTTTCAGTCCATGGAGGAGAGTAGCGCAGTCACATAAGGTCAGGTGGGGAGGGGACAGTTCCTGGAACTCCATCAGGAAGGCATCTGCATTCCCACGGAGGGAGGCTGTTGTCTCGCAGTACCGTGGTGTACTGCTGCTGTCGGGCTTTCCTGGTGAGCACACGCACTCCCCCAGCATCTGCCAGCTTCACTCCCTTACACCACTCCAATGCAGCTGGGCTGGGCTGGCTTCTTCTTGTAAAAGGTATTCACAGAAGGCACCCCTATCCCTCAGGTACACATGAGACTCCCTACTAAGTGAAAGAGAATCAGACTCACAGCTCCTGTCCTGATACAGCCTATAATCTAGTTAAGGAAGCAAGGCTTTAAAGGCAATGATACCTTCAGATATTAAATACAGATCTGGAGGTTGCCAGGAGAAAGATCTGGATGGAGGTGGGAGGAAGGGTCATTGGAAAAACATATCCTGGATGAGGAAGGAATTCAAGGAAACCAGTAAGAGCCCTACACAAGCCAACAGCACAACTCCTCGTGGGGCAAAATGGACACAGCATGGAGACACATCTGTTCAAGTGCCCAGATCAGGGCATCCCCAGCAAGCCCAATACCCACAGGGACACCCTCTGTGCTGGTAGGAGTGTGAAGCAAGGGCAGATTGCTCAGCTGCTCAGATATGAGCTTGGGACTCTGAGAGGCCATAGTGAGATGGGGTGAGCTAAGGCCTGACATGCAGGAGACAATGAAATTGCACGGTCTGCACCCCGGCCACCTCAGCCCCCCCCCCCACCCCGCTCCGCAGCCTTCATAGGACAATCCATGCAGATGTACTGGTGCACAAAAACCATGGGACTCTCAGGCAAGTGGAACCAATTTTAAGAGCTCTGACTTCAGAGGAGGAAATGGCCATTGACAATATTAGGATCCCTAGAAACTGCTCTTGGAATTTCATTTTCCATCCTAAACAATGCTGTCTGGAGTTTCTCCCTGGTCCCTGCCATGGCAGCATCCCCAAATGGGAAGAGTTCTGGAAATGCAGTTGGAATGCTGGGATCCAGGACCAATTCCACCAGTGAGGCTGTGTGACTTGGGGCTCCGTGCTGTGCTGGGATCCAGGACCAGTTCCATCACTGAGGCTGTGTGACTTGGAGCTCCATCCTCTGCTGGGATTCAGGACCAGTGCCATCACTGACACTGTGTGACTTGGGGCTCCGTGCTGTGCTGGGATCCAGGACTAGTTCCACCGCTGATGTTGTGTGACTTGGAGCTCCATGGTCTGCTGGGATCCAGGACTAGTTCCATCACTGAGGCTGTGTGATTTTGAATTCTGTGCTTTGGGCTAGAAGAGGCTCTTTGTCCCTCTGATCACACTGTCCGTGGTCACCAGATATTCCCCAGACTGCTGAGGCATCAGCCTGGCTTCCTTCAGGGAGCAGATCCTTACTCTCCATGTGCATTGGAGCATCAGACACACAGGCAAAAATGGAAATCTTCCTGTTCCTTTCCTGGGGGCTCCTCCCCATCCTCTGCCTCTCCTCATCCCCAATCAAGCCAACACCCTTGCCAGGAACCATGAAAGGGTGGCTCTGAGCAACACTGTTCCCCTCATCAGACACCACCGGCATCTGCCCAATGCCCATGTCAGACAAGCAAGAGAAGGGAGATGGAATTCCAGAAGGTTGAGAAGAGGACGGAAAAGCCCTGAGCCAGGGCAGAGTTCTTGAGCAAGATAGGCAATGTAGACGTCATTAAAGGACAAGCTAGAGGAAAGACGATTTCAAGAGTGCTGACGGGAAGAATGTGAGCCATGGGGGAAGAGAGGGCAAAGGTCCCAGAACCTCAGAAGCCTTGGCAGGTGCAGGGGAAGGGGAGGAGGAGCAGAGGGGATCAGCTGCAGATGGGGGAAGTCGAGGCAAAGGCTGAGGATGGAGGACGCAATCTTGCAGTGGGATGGGCGCCTCTGGGGTTAAGGATGAGGCTCCTGAGGCTGGGCCAGAGTAGACCCGGAGAGGGAAGAGCATGAGGGGGCTGGGATCTCATCACAGGTGGAGTTGTAGAAAACACTGGGGATATGAAAGAAGAGGCTGGGGATGCAGGGAGGGCGGGTGGGGTGGAAGAGAGCAAGGAGAGGAAAGGGAAAAGGTAAGGGAGGAATCTTCCTGGGCCTTTCAAGAGGGGTGAGCATTGCTGCCACCAGTACACCTGTGCTCCACCCTCCCCAGCCACGTGAAGGTACCTGGTACCTCCCAGACAGAGCTGGCCCCTGCTGCAGTGCAGACCACTCCCACAGGACCCCAGGTCTCCAAGGACAGGGAGATGGAGGTCTCACCCAGCCACAGTCTGCATCCGACCTGGCCATGTTTACCTGATGGCTTCAGGTGGGCTATGGGGGCCCGACAAGCTGCTGGACATCCAACCCCTCCCAACCCAGCCCAGCTGGCAGAGTGACGGGGGCTGGGCCACCCATCCCACACCCCCGGTGCCATACCTGGCTTTGCTGCCATCACTCAGGATGTGGAGGCTGCAGCTGCACTGAGAGGGGCAGGATCCCCGGGCCTGGGGGGGCCCCATGAGGGCCAGGAGCCCGAGCATGCCCACTGCCACCCACATGACTCCTGGCTCCTCTGTGGCCCCCAGGCAGGGCCCTGTCCCAGGACTGCTCCGTCCTGCCAGCCCAGCAAGCCTGGAAGCTGCCCACTTGCTCACAGCCCCCCTGCACACACCCCTGCCTGAGGCCATCGGATAAACATGGACAGGCCGGGGATTAGGGAGGGGAGACCCAGCCACCACTCTCAGCAGCTTAGTGCTTCCTGATTCATCCCAGCCTCAGGGTGGGGGCAGGGAACCCCCTCCATAGCAGCAGCCTCAGGCCCGGAGAGGCCAGGGCCAAACATGCAGGGTATGTGGGCAGCTATCCAGGGGCAGGTGAGTCCTGGGCCGGCTGGCTGGGCCCATCTGCAGTCTAGGCTGTCCATCTGCAAAGCACCCCAACTTGGCCATGGACAACAAACATAGACACCCCCCCTTGGGGTGCCTGGGCTCAGGGCAGATAGAGACAGCACCTGGCCTATACCAGGGACCTTTGAAGAAGGTCTGTTATAATGCTGTCTTATCGTGGCAAAGCAGGGAGATGAAGCAGGTCTTCCTAAATGTGGTGAGGGCATTAGAAGGAGCACAAACTCCAGGGCCAGACTATCTGAGTTCAAGTCCCAGCCTTTCCATGTTCAAGCTCTGACCCTGGGGTAGTCATAAGGTCCCTCTTGTCTCTGAGTCCTCATCTGAGAAAGGGAAGTCAAATTACCCCAGTCAAGGGTGCTGATGAAAATCAGCCCAAGTTTGCTAGGCCTTGAGAGCCCACGGGGCCAGAAGCTGTCCTGCCAGGTTCCCTGGTACCTACAAAGGCTTGCTCACAGAGAACCTGGGATGAGTCTGGTGTTTCAGGGCCCCCAGAGGCGTCTCCCCTGGGCCCCTGAGCCACCCCAGTCTGTGACCTCGCCTGGCCCACCACAAGGACAAAAGCAAGAGAGGGCCACATTGAGGGCAGAGGTCACCCCTCTCCTTAAGACAGCCCGCTCCAAGGAAGGTCCCAATATGTAGGTCCCAGGATCTTAGAGAAGGCACTTTCCGTTTTTCCTCTTCTTCCCTGCCCCTAATCTCACTCTATCTTACCCACTCAAGAGGCCAGTAGGCTCTGAGCACAGGTTGAGTGCAAGTAGCGATCAATCAGCTGACTCATTCCTTCCTTCCTTGTATGACTCCAAGACTTTACTCCCTGGCCAAGCAGGCCCTAGCTGGATCCTTTAGCTTGTCCAGAACTTTATGCCTGTGGGCCTAGGCAGGCCTAGACCGGTGAAGTCTGACTGAGGAAGACACATGGGGCCCCAGTGCACACAGAAGATGCCCGGCTTTGTGTCAGACCTGTTCTGACAGTATCAGCCTCCAGGAGGTGTTGGTCCCCGTTGCTTTCTCTCTTCCAGTCCCACCAAAAGGGTTTTTCCCAGTGCTCTCTTCCCCCTGCACCTGGTCTCCCTAAACTGGAAGAGCACCCCGGCCCTTCCCACATCTCTGCCTTTCCCTCCTTCTGTCTGGGATGCCCTCAACTCGTCTTCCACTCATCCACACTCTACCCTCTATTCCCCACCTTCCCCTTTTTCCTCCTGTCTTGTGAAGTCTTGTGTGATCTTGCAGGCATGGAAAAGAAACTGATATGTGTATTAACAAGGAAACCAGAGGCCCAGGATAAAAACTGAGACGGGAAGACCCAACCATGAGCTCGGCCTTGAGGGGTGGCTAAGCTTGTATGTAAGAGGAAAGTCCGGGAAACGGGTGTGCACAGAACAGATTGAGTTGTTGGCTGAAGGTACCAATGAGAAGTGTCTGAGCCTGGGACACAGGAGACTGGACTTCTGTCCCAGCACCACCACCAATTAATGCATGACATTGGGCTGATTCTTTTTTTAAAATCCATATTGCTAACAAAAGAAAATTTATTTTGTTTGAGTCATAGAGATAGCTCCCATGTGTTGATTCATTCCCCAGATGCCCCCCAACAGGCAAGACTACAAACCAAGGATCCAGAAACTCAGACCAAGTCTCCCATGTGGATGGCTTCCCAGAATGTGTATTAGCGGGCAGCTGGAGCCAGGCATTGGACCCAGGCACTCTCACATGGCACATGGGCTCCTTAACCAGTAGCCAAACACCTGTGCCCTCAGGCTGATTCTTAATTGCTTTTAGCCTCAGTTTCTCCATCTGACGTGGAAAGGAGACCTGATGGTATTGTTTAGGAGTCATCAGAAGATGCTTTAACATGGCGTCTGGCCCTCAGCAGGCACTAGCTGTATGGTGGGTTTGGCCTATTTACCTGAAAACGCATTGAGCTGCACTAAACCAGCGTCCTCTGATGTAAACCTCACGACAAGCCAGTGCAACGCTTGTGCCGAAACCACCTTTGTAGATGCCAGAGGTCTTAGCAGATCAGGGGGCCACACGTAAGAAGACAGCGGTCCCTCTGTTCTAAGGCAGTGTCCTGGAAGATATTTTTTACCCTTGTGTAACACCAGGGCTCTGTGGGAGACCAGAAATGCAGCCCTGACGTCAGTACTCAGGGTGCCTTCTTCTAACCACAACTTAAACAGGTCTTGGACAGAAGTGGCTTACCTTGCAAAGGAGAAAATTGAAAGGCCTAAGGGCCCCACTCCAGAGCATGTAGCTAGTTAATTTGCAGATTCAGAAACGGGACTGCAGTCTCTAGTTTTAGCCAGGGTTCTTTCTGTGACAGTGGGTGACTTTAAAACCTCATTCTTTCCCCAGTGTTCACAAGCGTGCGCATGCAAGCCTACACACACACACACATGCACATGCATATACACACATACATGCACACATATGTACACTGGGGCTCAGCTCGTCAGCACCTACAAGCATGGAAGAACCTGGCTCCTGTCCAGTGCTCAGGAACAGCTGCAGCTCAAATCCCTCCGTGTGCTTCCCTCCCTTGGTTATGCAACTCTTTTCCAAGTCAGCTCTCAGCCACACACCATTTGAATCCCTGGACCTTAATCCTGCCTGATGGGGCTGAAATGAATGAAACAGGGCTCCACTATGGCTTCACAAAGGCTGCACTGTCTAACTGGTGAATGGATTCCTTCTGCTTGGGCCAGGAGGACAATTTGGGGGTGGGGGGAGGCAGCAAGAAGGGGCTCCAAGTCCAGCATAATTCCCTGCATGTGCCAGCACGTGGAAGGGCCCTTTAAAAGGGAGGAGCTTGACTTCGGGGAATTAGAGAAGAGCTGAGCTGCTGGCAGGGAGGAAGGCCAACGATGGCAGAACCTGGGACCCTACCCCCTGGCTTTGAGGAGCTCGAGGTGCTGGCTGTGGGGACAGTGCTGCTGGTGGAAGGTGAGCCAGGAGAGACCTGGGGTGGAGTTGGCAAGGAGATGCCCCTAAACCCAACTCGGGTGTCATATCCTCTTGGCTGCCTGCTCCTCGGTGCCTGGATCCCTGTGGTCCTCAGACAGCTGCACCTGCGGGGTGCAGAGAGGAAAGCCGGGTGAGGCTTCAGGTCAAGGGGTAGAGACTTTGAGAGGGGGATTTCTACCAAGGAGAGGACCTAGAGCCAGGCTGCTGGGCTTTTCACGAACCTGCAGTTGGGAGAGCATTTAATCTACTTCTTGGAAATCCTGCTAAGAATCCTGTATGAGCTCAGACTCCCCAAATGCTCTGGAGACAGACAGCTCTGCCAGCTGCTGTCTGGGTGACTGGATCCAAGCCATTCAGCCCTCTGACTCTCAGTGTCTTGATGGGTGGTTGTGATGGGTCCTACATGAGTGGTGGTGACGATTAAATGGATTGGTGGGTACAACGCACTGGGCTAAAGAGACGCCAGGGAATCTAAGTTCACCTACTCCCACCCTCTCCAGCCCTACCAGTATTTCCACTCTAGAAACCCTAAGTATTTCCCTTCTCGGGACTCCCAGTGCCCACGAGATGCTGGCTTCAACCCAGGAGCCCTAAGATGCTCACTGAGGCCGGAACCAGGGACAGTGTGGATCCTGGCGCTGGGCCAAGCCCTAGCTAGCTGAGTCGGGAAAGCAGCTCTCGTCCGAAGCAAATCCAGAAAGATGCTCAGCACTTTGTCTCACCCAATGACAACTGACCGTGGAGAGGGAGTGATGGTCCCTACACTGGTCCTAGAGGCCCTGCACCCCACTGTGTCCCCAGATTGTTCCTTCCTTTTCTGAGACTCCTACAATATGGCACCCCTCTGGGTTCTCAAATGTGCTGTGAAACATTACCACTTTAGATCTTAGCACATACTGCTCCCTCTTTCTGGAACGCTCTTCCATGCTATCTATCTATCTATATAAAATTTGAGAAGCAGAATTACAGACACACACACACACACATGCACACAGAAAGAAGTCTTCCATCTGCTGGTTCACTCCCCCAAATGGCTGCAACAGCCAGAACTGGGCCATTCTGAAACCAGGAGCCAGAAGCCTCTTCCAGGTCTCCCACGTGGGTGCAGGGGCCCAAGCACCTGGGCCATCTTCCACTGTTTTCCCAGGCCATAGCAGAGAGCTGGACTGGAAGAGGAGCAGCTGGGAGCCAAACTGGGGCACATATGGGATGCAGGCACCACAGGCAGAGGCTTAACCTACTGTGCCACAGTGCCAGCCCCAGTGCTAACAGTTTTTAAGGCAGGATCCTCCCTCCCTTGTTTCACCTGTTAGGTGGGGGGAAGCTGAGATTCAGACAGCTCAAGGGGCAGCATGTGATCAACCAAGCCAAAATCCAAGGTCGGACCTCTGTCACCGGGAAAACCCAGCATCCTGGGCAGCTCCTAGATCTGGTGTCAGCTCCTCTCCTCCAGGGCTCTCCCTGATGTCGCTCCACAGCCCTCGGAGAAGGCATTTTGGCATCCGAAAGACCCAAGTTCACATCCCCAGCTCCAGCACCCCTGACTGTGAACTTAGGGCTCCGTTAGCTCACATCTCCAAGCCTCAGTTCCCCAGCTGTAAACAGGGAGGAGGGTGTGCAAGTGGAGACTGGACGAAACAATGCAGGTAAAGTGCTCGTCACGGTGCCTGGCACATGGTGTGAGCTCTGCAGCGTCGGTATCTGCTAAACCGGGATGTGCCATACTGACTGTCTTCCTCATCCATCTTCCCACGAGGCTGGGAGGTGGTGGAGGAAAGGGCGTGGGTCTACAGCTTTGGTATCTACGGCTGTGTTTGAAGAACTGCACTGGGAGGGTTGCTGGGCATGAAGATGGGAGGTTGCTGAAGCTGCCCCTGCCCCAAAGACCCTGCTCTGACCCCAGGTGGGCGTCGCCAGCCCCAATGCCAGCCCCACCCTCCCTTCCTTCCAGCACTCTCCGGCCTCAGCCTCAATGGCCTCACCATCTTCTCTTTCTGCAAGACCCCGGAGCTGTGGACCCCCAGCCACCTGCTGGTGCTGAGCTTGGCTGTGGCGGACAGTGGGATCAGCCTGAATGCCCTCATTGCAGCCGTATCCAGCCTCCTCCGGTACCAACCGCACCCCCAGTCCACGGGCTCTGGGGCCCTGCCTGGGGCCTGGTCCACAGGCACTGGGCAGCCAGCGCAGAGCTCTTCTTCCTGCTTTCGGAAACTGTCCCAAGGGCAGAGGGTGCGCAGGCTGAACTAGGCTAAATCCGAATTCTAGATTCTCTTTGAAGGACCACAGCCAACTTCTGGACACAAGCATTGCCCAAACCTGGCCAAAGAGATGGCAGGCTGTGGGGAGTAAAAGCATGGGCTTGGTGCCCAGGCAGCCTAGGTTTGGATCCGTGCTCTGGGCTTCTTCTGTAATTGGATATTATTACTTCAGTCACGCAGGCAGTTGGAAGTGTTGCACTTGATTAATTGTAAGTAACTTTAAACAATGCTTGGCACCTGGGCAGCCCTCAGTTAAGTGTTTGTGAAGGCACACCTTATTTGGACCAATGCCTGCTACTCCTCGTGTACCACCAGGGTCTCCCTGTGAGCCTCTAGATGCTTTCCTAAGCAGACAGAATATTCCCCACCTGTGGGCACTGCAAACAGGGGCTGGAGCCCTCTGTGTGCCGATGCCTGGAGCTGCCCAGGCCTCGGTGTCTGAGCCAGTGAGGAATCTCCCCTCAACAATGACCTGCAGCTGCCTCCTCTGCTTGACCCACGGGCTGAGAGTTGGGAGGCCTGGGTCCACCCTCGGACTCTGCCTGCCTTGGCTGTGTGATCTTAGATCAGTATCTCTTCCGCTCTGAGCCTGGGTTTCGCCACCTATGGAATAAAGATATGTGCTCTCCTGGGCTCAGGGGCACCTGATCCTGCCAGAGACACTTCAGCCCAACCGTGATGCAGTGAAACCACTGGGCCTGCAGACTTTGTGCCAGGCTCCACCCCTTCAGCCCAATGACTTGAGCTCTAAGCCCCAGATGCCTTATAAGGATTGTAAGGCCCTCCTGGGAGCAGCAGGACCTATATCCAGGAACATGGGAGGTGGGAGGGATAGAGGGGAGGGGGCAACGCCCAGTGTCTCCCACAGACGCTGGCCCTACGGCTCGGACGGCTGCCAGGCTCACGGCTTCCAGGGCTTTGCTACGGCACTGGCCAGCATCTGCGGCAGCGCAGCCATCGCCTGGGGACGCTACCACCACTACTGCACACGTACGTCTTGTTGGAGGACTCTCAGAGGGGAGGGACTTCCCTGAAGTGTGGATAGGAAAGGAGACGGGGTGGAGGGGAAGTGTCAGGACTAAGGTCCAGGTACTGGGGGAGTTTTGGGGGTGTGTAGCATGCAGGACTTTGTTGGAGGGAGGGTGGGAGAATATGCAGGGGTACCAGCTGCAAAGGCTGCTTCTGCCTTCATTGCAGCCTTGGGCAAGTCAGGAATCCTCTGAACTCAGTCTCCTCCTCTGCAAGATGATTTTAATCACCTATCTCAGAGTTTTATTCTGAAAATCAAATGAGATTGTGGGTGCAGAATTCATCCTTGCAGTAGGCATTGCTGGGGGTGGAAGGGAGGTAACGTCGGGGGAGAAAAAGATAGAGATAGAGATACATAGAGAGAGAGCGAGAGAGAGAGCGAGTGAGCCTGAGAGTGAGCAAGTCATGTGCCCCAGCACATCACACTTCCATGGGGCTCTGCCACACCAGCACTTCAAGAAAGCCAGTCAAGCTCCAAGTTCCTGAGCTGCATTGTCAATGCCATTGTCATCATTGTCCATGCCAGTGGATACCACCTACTGTGCTTCTACTGAATATTTTTTCCTTACAAATGACTCCCTTCAAATTTTTAAACACTGGCTCCACTCTCATCCCCAACCAGCATATGTGAAACCACAGGTTAATGTTTTTATAATTGTGGTACATATTAAAATAAAACACCATGTCTCCACCAGAGATATGTAAACAAGCTCCAACCTTCACAGCAAGCCCCAGCCTGCAGCTCAGGAAGCAGAAGCAGAGAGAAGCTGAGCAGTTTGCTCAGGGCCACATGGGGGCAGAGCTGGGGTGGAGTGTGGCCTGGACGACTCCCTTTGTCTCCCCGAGCTCCAAGTCCTGAGCTGTGGATTTGCCCAGCAGAGGGGGGGCTGTGGGGTCCATGGCCAGCCCTGGGCACGGCCTGTTTAGAACTGCAGAGCTGCCCTTACTGCCCTTGCTGTACACGGGCTGGGCACAGTCTCCTGCCTGCAGCAAAGGCACCAACCCCCGTGGAGCTCTCATTTCCAGTGGTTTTGCGTAAGCCCCTCCCACCCACATGGCCTGGGGGCAATTCTCCTATCACTCATATCCCAGTCCCTGCCCTCAGAGCTCCCTCAGACACACATGCACATGCACACACACACACGCGCGTGCGCGATGCATGCACACACATCCACACTCAGATAGCAACAGGCCTCTCGGCTTCAACAGAGAGCAGTTAATCCCTACTCTAGGGCCTCAAGTTCAAGCTAGATCCTGGCGAGGGCTTCCCTTTGGCTCTGCAGATGGCCAGCTTCTTGCCTTGTCTTTGCATGGGGAAGAGAAAGATCTCTTGTGTCCCTTCTTAAAAGGACACCAGGCTCACCAAGGGGGGCTCCACTCGGTGATCTAATTACCTCCCAAAGGAATCCCGTGACATGGTGGTGAAGGCTTCAACATGTCAATGTTAAAGGGACACAAACATTTGGACCATAGTCCGAGTGGGGGGCACATCCAAGCGAACGCTCTCTGGGGCCGTGTGAACAGAAGCAGTGTCAGACAAGGGAGATTGTAGATCTGCTCTTCTCTGCTGATCAAACTCCATCTGCAGCCCTGTCCTTCACCTGGGGTCTCATCTACCAAGGAGCGGGACAAACAAAGCCGAGACACTGGAGGGAATCCGGGAAAGGCGTTGTGAAGCCAGGTCCAGGAGGAAGCACCAAATGGGAAGGGCCGAATGAGGCTGCAGCACAGAGCAGGCACGAGCAGAGGGGACAGGAGGAGGTCAGCTCGGCGGGCCTGGCTCACACCCAGGGGGGCTTCTGGGACTCAGCCCCTGCCAGCGGCACTGAGACAAAGCCCCAGCCCCTGAGTTGAGTGGTCTCAGAGGGTATCCTAGAAGCAGAGACAGCGGTCCCCTTCCGAGCAAGAGCCAAGGAGGGTGGAAAGCCAGGCTCCCACCTCCCTTCCCCTGAGCCACTGCCTCCCCTTCTTCCTTTCTACCCTTGGCCCTGGAGAACTCAAGTGTCTCATTGCCACTGCTTCCTTCGCTCTGTCCTTTGAAGAAGCTGGTGTGGCGGATCTGCCTGCAGACCCTCACCATCCAGCCTCTTCTTATTCTGCCTAACAATCCTTTGCAGCGGGAATGATCACTCCATTGGTGGGGGAGAAAGGTGAGGTTCAGAGAAGCCCTTCACTTGCCCGAGGCGTGCAGCATTAAGCTCAGAGCTGAGAGCTAGGGACACCCCACATGACCATGAAGTCCATTCTTTTCCCCTGTGCCCAGCTGTCGCTCCTCCTCTGCCCCGTGCAGGCAGCCAGCTGGCGTGGAACACGGCCGTGCTGCTGGTGCTCTTTGTGTGGCTGTCTTCGGTTTTCTGGGCAGCCCTCCCCCTCCTGGGCTGGGGCCACTATGACTATGAGCCACTGGGGACGTGCTGCACCCTGGACTACTCGAGAGGGGACAGGTAAGGTGGGGGAGCAGCGGCTTGGAGAGGATCTGGGATTGGAGTCCCTGTGACAAGGCTATCCCAGCTGAAAATCCCAGTGAGAGAAATGTCCACACATGCCAGCCAGTCTCAAGTCATGACTGGCAGTCTCAACTCAGGCTGACAGTGGGGCTGGGGGAAGCCTGTCTAAAAACTGCCCCGTCATGGGACTGTGATGCAAATCAGGGCACAGGGTTGAGCCCAGGTAGGGTGTCATGCAGTGAGCCTGGAGTGGGTCACACCCGCCCCAGAGCTCCACTCCCCTTGCCATCTTCACCACTGGGTCCTGGCTCTGACTGCGGGGTTCTTAGAGGGACCCTTGGTTTGATAGATTCCAAGAATCGTAAGATCTCTTCCTTGGGAGTCAGGTCCTCCTGGCAGCCCTCCTCCCATCCTCTCTTATTGGAAAGCTGCAAGGTAGTGTGACTTTCCCTTTTCCAGCCAGGAACCTGCCTCCCTGTGACTCCCCTCTGCTCCCACCTCCCCATGGTCACTACCAAGTTCTTCTGTGGTCCCTTTAGTCTTTTTTTTTTTTTTTTTTACAGGCAGAGTGGATAGTGAGAGAGACAGAGAGTAAGGTCTTCCTTTTGCTGTTGGTTCACCCTCCAATGGCCGCCGCGGCCGGCGCGCCGCGGCCGGTGCACCGCAACCGGCACACCGCGCTGATCCGATGGCAGGAGCCAGGTGCTTCTCCTGGTCTCCCATGGGGTGCAGGGCCCAAGCACTTGGGCCATCCTCCACTGTACTCCCTGGCCACAGCAGAGAGCTGGCCTGGAAGAGGGGCAACCGGGACAGAATCCGGCGCCCCGACCAGGACTAGAACCCGGTGTGCCGGCGCCGCAAGGCGGAGGATTAGCCTATTGAGCCATGGCGCCGGCTCCCTTTAGTCTTGTTGTCATCCGCAGGTCCCTTTCAAGTCCCTGTGCCTAGAACACTCCCTTGAGTGTCCCCTCCTCTTGCTTGGCCCAGCAGCATTGCCACCATGTGGTGATCATATTTCCTATACTAACACCCTCCGTTCTCTGTGTCTGGAGAGCAAATAGGACAGCAGGGCTCAGCACTGCAGCCTCATCTCAGCTCCCAGGCTCCCACAGGCAAGTTCTAGGAGGACCTTGTAGCTCCCTGGCCCCAGAGGGGAGCTCACTCAAGACTTAGGAGCAGCCACACCCTGAGTGCTTGTCTGATGGGGGCGGTTCCCCACTTCTGACTGTCTAACGCAGGGGCTGGTGGGCCTGGGGGAACAGCTGACCAGCCCCGAGAGCTGACCCTCATTCTCCGCCCCTTGCCCTTAGAAACTTCATCAGCTTCCTCATCACCATGGCCTTTTTCAACTTCCTCATGCCCCTCTTCATCACCCTGACATCCTACAGCCTCATGGAGCAGAAACTCGCCAAGAGTGGTCGTCTGCAGGTAGGTGCCAGCCCCAAGGGCAGCGAAACTGCCCCCGTCCCTCTCAGGGACACCAGGGAACATGCACGACATGCCAGCAACCAGGAGAGAATCCAGCATGCACAAAGGTGAGGGCTGCTGACCACCCTCCCTTGCTGGGATAGCCAGGGCCAGGGAATGAGCGTCAGGGCGGACCCAGGCTCCCTGCTGGACACCACCCATGCTGTTGCATTTCATTCTTCCCAAGGATTTGAGGCTCAGCACCAAATTGCAGGTTTTTTAAATTGCTCGGAGGTGTTTAATTTCCTCACAGTCACAGGCTGTTACTTGCAACAGAAAACCACACCTGCGGGCACATTCATCCAAGAAAAGCAAAAAACCCTCTTGGCTGTTTCTGAGTTTCTGCACTAATACTCTCTCACCACAATTTCCTTTTAACTGTGTCACCTGGACAATCTAGCAAATGAGTCATAACAAGTGGCAAAGGTTTTTAAAAACCGAGACATTCATAATGTTTGGGGTGCATTGTTATTTCAGCTTTGCAGTCACTCTCTGAGGAAGGGCGGTCTTATTGGCCCTGTGTCCCAGTCAGAACGGATGCAGACAGGGGTCTGCTAAGCCAAAAGCCACCGGCCTCTTAATAGCAGAGTTGGCTCAAAGCCAGGTCCGAGAGCCACCGCCCATATGGTCCATTGAAACACACAGTCTGCCCCTTCCTTATTATTTCTATGGTTTTGTGAATTGGAAAAGAGCTGCATGTTCCTCTGAGGGCACAGAAGGAGGGCCAGGGCTGCACTGGGACAGAATCTCCCTGCTGGTTCCCATGATACTGGCCAGCAGACACCACTCCAGGCTTCCCTCCCGAGCCCTGCCTCCACACACCTTGGAGATCCAGTCAGCCAGGAGACAAAGCTACCACCACGGGGAGCGGGAGTCCTCATTTTAAGCCATCAGCTCTGGCGGCATTCCCTGGAGGTCACCACGGGTGGCTGGGTGCTCAGCTGCAACCTGAGAGATTCTAGAGATGACGGTCTTTGGCTGAGGAGTCAGCTTCTCCTCCCGCCTCAGCTTTGCCCTGGGAGCCTCTCCATCAACATTAAGCCCTTGTTTTTCTTCTGAATGAGGGAGGGACCACTGGAGGGGAAAAAATGCCTCCCAGTCAATATATTTTTAAAAACCCCAAACTGAAGAGAATGTGTCCTCTCCTGACTTAAACAGCCTTGGTTGTTAAAGAGATCCATGTCAATGAGAAAACAGACGCCGAGTATGACAGTCGGATTTGCAGCCCTGAGCCCACACAGGGAGCAGAAGTGGGCCCCTCCTTCCAGATATCAGAGCACCGGATGTGCACCCCCTCATATTAGCGCAGCTGCACCGCCCCCTTGTGGTTATCAGCCCATCACCCACTGCACAAACCCGCTCTGCTCCTTGCTTGTATCTCACACCATCCCACCTGGTGGCTGCAGCTGCTGAGAGCAAAGTGGTTCTGGGACAGCTGAGGCTGGAGGGCAGCTCAGCCTGAGGACCCTGTGCCCACCGTCACCGGGCCCAGGATGCCTCCTCTGGGGTGGGGACCAGGAAGGACATTCACTAGCTGCCTGGTCCCTATGAGTCACCATCAGGCCACTTCACAGAGGAGCCGGCGGGGGCCAAGTAAGCTCAAGTGACAAGCTTAGGGTCATACAGCCTTAAACACCAGGTTCCAAGTTCCTCTGCAGTGTCAGCCTGGCCCATGCTGTCCAGAGCTCCTGAGGGGCCACCTGCTGCCCTCAGTTGTATGTGGGGTGGTGAGGTGCAGGGGCCACCTGGAGCGACCTGATGCCTCCCATGACACTCTCTCCCCAGGTGAACACCACTCTGCCAGGCAGGACACTGCTGTTCTGCTGGGGCCCCTATGCCGTCTTGTATCTGTGTGCAGCCGTGGCGGACATGAGCTCCATCTCCCCCAAACTGCAGATGGTACGGACACTTCTGGCTCCCGGAGCCCTCTTGCTCTCTGTGTTGGTCCCAGCCCCTCTCTCTTTCTGGCATTCTAGCCTCTGAACTGATCTCTCTCTTTCTCCCTTCCTCTGAACACTCACAAGGCACAGGGAATTCGCCTACCCCCCAACCCAACCCCTGGGCCACCGCAGCTGCTGCTGATGCTGTGGCACCTCCTGTGAGATGACAGGGAGGCAGCCAGATGGTGAATATGCACTCTGTGCCCAGGGGCTGAGATTGGCGCCCAGTGAAGGGGAGGGTGGTGAGCGTGAAGGAGAGGAGTGAGTTTCCACAGGTCTCCTCAGCGCTACCAGTCAGACGAGGCTCCGGGGCTGCAGGATGGTGGAGTTGAGGACAAATGATCAGCAGCTGCAGTGGGAGGGGGGACCAGGTCACCATGAGGGACTGGAGAAGGGAACAGATGTTGTGAACCTTATTTTCTGGGCTTTTCTGCCACAACAGGTGCCTGCCCTCATCGCCAAAACTGTGCCCACAGTCAATGCCGTCAACTACGCCCTGGGCAGCGAGGTGATCCGCAGGGGCATCTGGCAGTGTCTCCTGCCACAGAGGAGCGTGCGGGGCCGGGCCCAGTGAGCCTCCGTATGGGGCTGCTCAGACCCTGGACTGTTTCTGCCAACCTGGACCAAGCCCCACGCCAGCAGGCTGCCCCAGAGAGTCCTGCTCAGCAATTTTGGAAGCCAAGCCCCAGATACCATCCAGCAGCCCTGGGAGCCCCGCGGAGCCTGGCCCTAGACTGGACGCAGGAATTCTGAAAGATACCAGCCTGCATGGCAGGAGCTGGGACTTTGGAGCCAGGCAGGGCTGGGTGTGTGTCATAGCCCTCCACGTGGAAACTAAGAGACCTGGGGAAAATCACTGGGCCACCTGACCCCTAACACGAGGACACGAATACAAACTCACAAGGTTGTTGTGAAGCGCAAACAAGAGGACATGTACTCACACCAAACACAGAGAAGGTGCTCCTGGGGGCCAGTGACGTGGCACAATGGGTTAAGCCACCATCTACAATGTCAGCATCCCATATTAGAGCGCTGGTTCAAGTCCCAGCTGCTCAGCATCCTATTCAGCTCCCTGCTAATGTGCCTGGAAAATCAGCAGATGATGACCCAGGTACTTAGATTCCTGCCACCCACGCGAGACACCCAGATGGAGTTCCTGGCTCCTGGATTCAGCCTGGCCCAGCCCCAACTGTCACAGCCAGTTGGGGAGTGAACCAGGAGATGGAAGATCTCTTTGTCTGCCTCTCTTTCTGAGTCACTCTTTCAAGTTAAATGAATCTTTAAAATAATAATTGTAAAAAAAAAGAGAGAGAGAGAAGGTGTTCATGAAAACAGAGCTGCTAGTACAAGCTTTGGTCATGCCCTGCAGGTGAGAGTTCCCAGGGCTCGGGACAGCTCTGTCCTTTGCCCAGGACACCACTTTGCTGCCCACTGGAGCTTGCATGTTCCCTGCAGAACCCAAGGGCTCACACAGGGGTCCCTGTCCACCCCTGGCCCACCCATGTAGTCAGCCCCCCAGGGACCAGGTGTGGCAGGCGCACAAGTCCTCAGCAGGACCCACTGTGCTAGAGGGAAATGGAGATGGCTGGATGAGTGATCCGGAAGGGACAGGCAGTCTCGTGATGGAGAGAAAACACCAAGGAGGCAGGCAGGAGCTGAGGGGAGGAACAGACAAGCCCCCGGGAAGGGGCCGTCATGCACATGGCATCCAGGCTCCTTGTCGGCCGGTTCCTGGCTCTCAGCTCTGCAGATACAGAAAATCAGGCCACATGGGCATCACTAATGTGGGGCCTGCCCACAACATTGACCTCTGCTGTCGTTTTTGGAAAACCAGGGGTGGATGGAGGGGGAGCAGCCAGGCCAGCACCAAGGGCCAGAAAATGCAGCCTCAAGCAATCCCTTCCTCCCTTTGCAAGCCAGCAACTGGGTGACCCCCTTCCCACCTGCCTCTGCCATTTAGCCCTTGTTCATTTCTTCTATCAGCATTCAATGAGCAGCTGCTGTGTGTCAGACATGGAGCTTGGGGCAGTGCCCCAGCCATATGACCTTTCCCAGTGACCTCAGCAAGACACCCACTGCCTCTTGATCTCCTCATGACATCTCTGAGCACAAAATAGGTGCTGATGATGGCTAGGAAGTCACCAGGCGAAATATGATACAACTCCGTCCAAGCCAGAGGAACCAGGCACGGACAAGAGGGTTGCCAAGAATATCCAGAAGTTTCCTTCAGCAGCTCTGCAAGTCCGTGGCTCAAAACTAAGCCCTTTCCCCCTCATCCCAGAGAAATGAAATCCATACTCTTGGCTGCACTGTGTCCTTGCTTTGCGTGTCTGTTTCTAAAGAAATATTTCCACTGACTTTCAATGCATAGCCTGTTTCAGCTCCAATTCTGGATTTTTTTTTCTTCAAAATTTCTGTGAGTTGCCCTGAGAAGCTAAGGAAGGACCCACACATGCGCTCTGGCAGCAGGACCAGGTCCCAGCCCTGCTGTCCCCTCTCTGTGTGGCCTTGGGAGTCAAAACCCACTCTGGCCCCCTCTCTCCATCTCAGTCTCACTGAGCTCCAACCAGGGCAGGTTTTCAAACGCTATCAAAGTTCTCTTTTTCAAGCAAGGCCATGTAACAGACTACATTTATATCGTCACCCCACCCCCAAAGTCAGGTGTTGAAGCCCCCAGCCCCAGTGCGGCTGCATTTGGAGACAAGAGGGGTTTAAGGAAGGAGAACTAGATGAGGTCCCAGGAGAACATTGTAGGATGGTGATCTGGATTCCACAGGCTGGCATCCTTAGAGCAAGAGACACAGAACTCTCCTGCTCGCTCCATGTCCCCGTGCCCCTCGCGTGCAGCAGGGAAAGGCAGCCGTGTGCGCTCCACAGGGAGAGCCCTCACCAGACACTACCCCATCAGCACCTCCATCTCTGACTTCCAGCCTCCTGTGCTATGAAAGAATGGGTTTCCGCTGTTTGTCACCCAGTCTAGGGTATTTCATGACAGCACTTGTTCTAGCAAGCTACACAGTGCTCGAAGCTCAGTGTTTAAAACCATGACGCTCAGCTTGGGGTTGTGTGAAACCCAACTCAGATGGCGTGAAATCCTAAGATCTCCTCCCACTCAAAGGTCCGTTGATCCCTGACTTTATCTAACTGCTTTTAGCAAAAAAATGTAAGTGCAGTAACATGGTATTCCCCACCCCTTCTAATCTTCTTGCTGAGAAAAATTGCTCTGCCCATTGCCAAAACCAACTTGACATAAAGTCACAAATAAAGTTGCAAGGTTGTCACTGATGTTAAGACCTGGCCTCTCCCCAAGACCTCCACTGGGACAATTTCCCTAGGGAGGGGGAGAGGCTGTGTGCCTGATTGTTAGCAAATATATAAATTAGATATAACCTAAATTAAGTATGTTTTTTTTTTTTTTTTGGACAGGCAGAGTGGACAGTGAGAGAGAGAGACAGAGAGAAAGGTCTTCCTTTGCCGTTGGTTCACTCTCCAATGGCCGCCGCGGCCGGCACGCTGCAGCCGGCGCACCGCGCTGATCCGATGGCAGGAGCCAGGTGCTTCTCCTGGTCTCCCATGGGGTGCAGGGCCCAAGCACTCGGGCCATCCTCCACTGCACTCCCTGGCCACAGCAGAGAGCTGGCCTGGAAGAGGGGCAACCGGGACAGAATCCGGCGCCCCGACCGGGACTAGAACCCGGTGTGCCGGCGCCGCAAGGCGGAGGATTAGCCTAGTGAGCCACGGCGCCGGCCTAAATTAAGTATGTTTTCCCTCTTAAAGGTAAAGGAGATCTCTATGGATTTTTCCACATAAAGCCAACAACAAGGAAGTTACCCTGAACTATTTGCATCTTTCTCCTTGCCACAAAATTGATAAATCTCTGCTGGTTCCTTTGTCAAAGGCAGTCCCAGTTCATTTGGTTCAAATACAAACTCACTCTCCTTCCCACCACAACGGCCTCCCTTCCTGCGTCCCCTAAGCAAATATCATTCATCGGTCCTGTCACAGAAGCTAAAGCTAAACCAAGAGAAAATGAAACAAAAGGCAAAGATCTGACAGGTGAAAGTGGGGCAGGGTCTAGCTTCTTCCACAAGGTGGCAGTGGTAGCAGTGCTATCATTTATCAATGATAAATCCCTCCCTGGCCAGCCTGCCTGCCTGCCTGCCTGCCTTCCTTCCTTCCTTCCTTCCTTCCTTCCTTCCTTCCTTCCTTCCTTCCTTCCTTCCTTTCTTTCTCTTTCTTTTTTTCTTTTTCTTTTTCCCTTAAGATTCATTTATTTGAAAGTCAGAGTTACACAAAGAGAGGAGAGGCAGAGAGAGAGGAGAGAGAGAGAAAGAGAGAGAGAGAGAGAGAGAGAGAGAGAGGTCTTCCATCCGATGGTTCACTCCCCATTTGGCCACAACAGCCGGAGCTGTGCCAATCTGAAGCCAGGAGCCAGGAGCTTCTTCTGGGTCTCCCACGTGGTGCTGGGCCCAAGGACTTGGGCCATCTTCTACTGCTTTCCCAGGCCACAGCAGAGAGCTAGATTGGAAGTGGAACAGCCGGGTCTCAAATGACCATATGTGCCCATGTGGGATGCTGGCGCTTCAGGCCAGGGCATTAACCCACTGCGCCACAGCGCCGGCCCCCGCAGGTGCCTTTCTGAAGCACCTGGAAGCTCCTGGCCAGGCTGCTGGGCAGGTTACTGATTCCCGCAGGACCTCCAACAAGCTAGCTTCTGCCCCTTCTTGGTTCAGAAGCCAGGTGTCCAGCTGTTTCTACCGTGAATGATCATCCCTCCTCCATAAAAGAAACTGTATCTCATGCCTGTTGGCCAGAGAGGTCCCAGATGGCCCCAGAGAGTCCCCTTTTCTCTGCCTACGAAACAGTCACTACTGGAATTTGGCCAGGAGGCCTGGGTCTGTTCTATGCCTTAGTCTGACTAGAAGGAGGTGGGGGCATTCCTGGATTTCTCTGGGTTTTGTTTTCTTAAGATTTATTTATTTGAAAGGCAGAGTTACACACAGATAGAACTTCCATCCACTTGTTCACTCCCCAAATGGCTGTAAACAGCCAGAGCTGGGCAAAGCTGAAGCCAGGAACCCCGAACTTCATCTGGGTCTCCCACATGGGTGGCAGGGGCTCAAGCACTTGGGTCATCTTCTGCTTTCCAGACCCATTAGCAGGGAGCGAATTGGAATTGGAGCAACCAGGACTCAAACCAGCGTCCATATGGGGTGCAGGTGTTGCAGGCAGTGGCTTAATCCACCGTGCCACAATGTCGGCCCCATCTCTGGGTTTTCTTGGGCTAAAATTACAGGTGGGAGCTGGCTGTAAATGTGGGAGCAGAACAGGAAGGCCCTTGAGCCCAGGGCCCCAGAGAAGCAGCCTGGACTTGGGGCAGATGCATGATGGACAGCCGCTGGTGATGGACAGTAGTGTTGCTAAGGCAACGAGTTCCGGAAAAGCCCTGGGCGAAGGCCAAGACATAATCCCTGGGCCTTCCCTCTCTGTGCTGTGCCCCCTCATAAGCTGTCTCCTGGCCCCAGCACCACACACCTGTCCTTCCCTCCTGCTGCTCTGACAAGGGCTCCACTGTGTCCCAGCCCTGCACCCTCAGCCCAGCTGTCCCACCCCTGCAGCTGTCTCTTTCCCTCGTCCAGGTGAGAGGCCACTTAGCAGCTTGGTGAGCACTTAGCATTGGGTGTTGGCAGGACCCGGGCAAGAATCCAGCATTTGTCACTTGCTCGATGTGGCTAAGCTTCTCTGCTTGACCAGACTGTGGTCAGGCTCCTGAAACACCCCCAGTTCTGGCAAGGAGCCTCGCTAAGGCAGTCCAGCCAGATACCCCATCTCCTTAACTGAAGGGTCCTCAGCTCCATCCCAGGTGGTGACTGGTCACCCTGGCGTTTCTCCAGCAGGATTCCTGCCAGGTAGGTTCAGCCTCCTTCCAGTGACTTTTATTTTATTTTATTTTTAAGATTATTTATTTATTTATTTATTTAATTTATTTAGGTAGAGTTACAGACAGTGAGAGAGAGACAGAGAGAAAGGTCTTTCTTCCGCTGGTTCCCTCCCCAAATGGCCACAATGGCTGGAGCTGCGCCGATCCAAAGCCAGGAGCCAGGAGCTTCCTCCAGGTCTCCCACATGGGTGCAGGGGCCCAAGCACTTGGGCCATCCTCCACTGCCCTCCCAGGCCACAGCAGAGAGCTGGACTGGAAGAGGAGCAACCGGGACTTGAACTGGCGCCCACATGGGTTGCCAGCTCAGTGACTTTTCCAACCACTGATCCCTCCCATGCTCCTTGGCATGAAAAAATTACATGTACCCTGGAAGGAAGCAGGTGATGATGGCTCAAGCCCTTGGATCCTTGCCAGCAGCTCCTGAATATTTGGGGTGTGAACCAAGAGATGATAGTTCTGTCTCTCAAATAAATTAAACAACTAAAACTGAGAAATGATATTAAAAGATTTGCTTATTTTGGGCCAGCGCCGTGGCTCACTAGGCTAATCCTCTGCCTTGCGGCGCCGGCACACCAGGTTCTAGTCCTGGTCGGGGCACCGGATTCTGTCCCGGTTGCCCCTCTTCCAGGCCAGCTCTCTGCTGTGGCCAGGGAGTGCAGTGGAGGATGGCCCAGGTGCTTGGGCCCTGCACCGCATGGGAGACCGGGATAAGTACCTGGCTCCTGCCATCGGATCAACGCGGTGCGCCGGCCGCAGCACGCTGGCCGCGGCGGCCATTGGAGGGTGAACCAACAGCAAAGGAAAACCTTTCTCTCTGTCTCTCCCTCTCCCTGTCCACTCTGCCTGTCAAAAAAATAAATAAATAAAAAATAAAAAAAGATTTGCTTATTTTGGTGCAAAAAAATTGAAATCCATATTATATAGAAGTTCATTTCCACTTCTCTCAGCCTCACCTGGTAATGTGGTTTGCACTCACATTTCTCTCACATTTCTCCCAGGTTCCAAAGAGCAGAGCCCAGTAGGAGAGCCTCAGACCAAGGCACTGCATTTTATCTCCATGGTATCAGTATCATTCACAGGGTTGTAAAGGCTGGGTCTCCTGACCCAGAGACTAAGGCATAGGGAGGCTGAAGTGCCTCTGAAAGGGAGCTGCTTTGTGGCACAGCAGCTTAAGCTGCTGCTTGCTATGCCTACATCCTATGTGGGCATTGGTTCAAGTCCCTACTGTTCCACTTCCAATCCAGCTCCCTGCTGATGCATCTGGGAAACCAAGAGGGAGTGGTACAAGTGCTTGGGAACCTGACACCCATGTGGGACATCAGGGTGGAGTTCCAAATTCCTGGTTTCAGGCTGGCCCAGACCTGGCCATTGCAGCCACTTATGGAGTGAGAATAAATAAATAAATAAATCTTTTCACATATGAAGGCCTACACTCATTGGGAAAGCTTGGCTCCTGGCCCAGGGACCTTCAGACCTCTGCGTGGACTGTGCATGTCCATGAGGAGGAGAACAGCACATCTCAGGCCTTAAGGTGCATGCAATCCCTGGGTCCTTCGCCACTGCCAGTTCTGGTTCAGGCACGGGGGTGCGGTCTGCATTTCTAGCATGTTCCAGAGCAAAGCGGTGCTGCTGTAGTCCCAAGCCACAGATCAGAATTCCCTAGCCACGCCTCCACTGCTCAGCAGCTGCCTGGGGCATCCCTCAGCCTCCCTCACCTGCCAGATGCCATCTTCCAATTCTGGGAGGCTGAAGACGTCCGTTCCAGGCCTCAAAATGCCACTGGGTGGCACCCTGGGAACACTTCGCTAGGGGATTGCTGAGTGGCTCTTAGGTCAACCACAATTCAACAAATATTGACGGGCCCCAGCTATAAGTCAGGGACACAATATATCTTATTTTTAAATTTTGTATTTATTTGAACTGCAGAGAGACAGAGAAAGAGAGAGCTCCCACCCACTGGTTTACTCCTTAAATGCCTGACATGGCCGGGGTTGAACCAGACCCAAGCTGGAAGCCAGGAACCCAGTCTGGGTCTCCCAGTGGTGTGGCAGGGGCCCAACTTCTTGAACCATCACCTGCTGCCTCACAGGGCACACTGTAGTAGGAAGCTGGAATTAGGAGCACAGCTGGGAGTTGAACCCAGGCCTCTTATAGAGGATGTGGGTGCCCTGAGCAGCGTCTTAACTGCTAAGCAAAATGCCTGCCCAGGGACAGTTTAAACAAAACACAGGAGGTGGGGCTGCCACTTGTTGCTTAGAAGGCTAAGCCTCCACCTGGGGCACCGGCTTCCCATATGGGCACTGTGCAAGGTGTCCGGCTCGTAACAAATCTTCCCAGGCAGATGAATCAATTAATTTACAAGCTTTCATTGGGATTCCACTTGCGGGTGAGGTTCCCCGGTCCCAACAGAGCGGGAGCCTGGGGAAGTCACGCATCAGAGGTTGCGAGGGCTCCTTTTATAGATATAGGGCATGGGGTTAAAGGTTGAGGCAGGTCTGATCCTCATTGGTTGACCTTTAGGAACCTGTGGGGATCTTGACAAGGACTTTTCTTCCCTGGAAGTGCAGGTAGAGACTCTCCATTCCCGGAAGTATAGGCCTTCTCTCCTTGCAGATCCCAAAGCTACCCACTGGTTCCTGTCCCGGCTGCTCCTCTTCCAATCCAGCTCTCTGCTAATGGCCTGGGAAAGCAGTGGAAGATGGCCCAAGTGCTTGGGCCCCTGCACCCACATGGGAGACCCAGAAGAAGCTCCTGGCTTCTGGCTTCAGATTGGCCCAATTCCGGCTGTTGTGGCCATTTGGGGAGTGAACCAGTGGATGGAAGACTCCTCTCTCTGTCTCTCCCTCTTTCTGCTGTAATTCTGCCTCTCGAATAAATAAATAAATCTTAAAAAAAAAAAAAAGACACACAAGATGCTTGGGGGCTTACATTCTAGGGACAATAAGCCAGTAAGTGTATTTAAAAGATCATTGCAAATTGACACACATGTTCTGGAAGATGTAAATGAGAGATAAGGTAGCAAGTCACTGGGAGAGGCGACCAGGAAAGACCCCTCTGGGGAGGCGATCTTTGAGCTGTGACTTTAAGGACAAGAATAAGGAAGTGAGGTGGCGAGAAGGGAAAAGCCCTCCAGGCTTTCTCATTGTTCAAGGAGCTTAAAGGGGCATAAGGCTGGGGCAGAAAGAGTCAGAGAGGGAAGGGGAGATGATGCAGCGGTCTTGAGTTCAGCAGAGCTGGAGGCACCGTAGGGAGAATGGGTAGGGCAGATGCATTTTATTTTAAGAGTCAATAAGGGGGGCTGGCACCATGGCTCACTTGGCTAATCTTCCACCTGGGGTGTCGGCATCAGCATCCCATATGGGCGCCGGGTTCTAGTCCCAGCTGCTCCACTTCCAGTCCAGCTCTCTGCTGTGGCCCAGGAAGGCAATGGAGGATGGCCCATGTGCTTGGGCTCCTGCACCGGCATGGGAGACCAGGAAGGAGCTCCTGGCTCCTGGCTCCGGATCAGTGCAGCACTAGCCGTAGCGGCCATTTCGGGGTGAACCAATGGAAAGAAGACCTTTCTCTCTGTCTCTCTGTCTCACTGTCTAACTCTACCTGTCAAATAAGTAAAAAAAAAAAAAAAAAGAGCCAATAAGGGGCTAGCCTTAAGGTGCAGCAGGCTAAGCCACTGCTATGACACCAGCATCTCATAGCCGAGTGCCAAAGCTCCTCTGCTTCTGATCCCGCTCCCTGCTAATGCACCTGGGAAGGCAGCAGCAGATGCCCCTGCCACCCACATGAGAGACCTGGATGGACTTCCAGGCTCCTGGCTTTGGCCTGGACCAGACTTGGCCATTGTAGTCATTTAGGGAGTGAGTCACTCACTATCTCTCCCTCTTTCTGTCACTCTGCCTGTCAAATCAATCAATCAATCTTTCTGTTGTTTTAATGAGCAAATGAAAGCCTTTGAAGGGTTTTAATCAGGAAAGTAAGTAGACCTGGCTTCTGTTGTTATTGGCTTATTCTGGGGGTTGTGTGGGGGCTACACTGGAGGGCAGAACAATGGAGGTAAGAAGATAAAATAAGGCTGCTAAGATGCCATTAAGACACTTAGTCCTATATTGGAGTAACTGAGTTCCATACTGGCTTTTTACTCCAACTTTCTGATAATGGGAACCTTGGGAGGTAGCAATGATGGCTCAAGTGGTTGGGCTTCTGCCACCCACACCCACATGAGAGAACTGGATTGAGTTCCAGGTTCCAGGCTTCAGCCTGGCTCAGCCCCCACCATTGTGGGCATTTGGGGAGTGCCAAACATAGGAGAGCTCTCTCCCCAACTCAGGCCCTTGCTTCTCAAATGAAAAACAAATTCTTTTTTAAAAAGATAAGGGCCAGCATTGTGGTGCAGTCGTTTAAGCCACTGCCTGTGCTGCCGGTATCCCATAGTATTGGTTCCAGCCCCAGCTGTGCTACTTCTGATCCAGTTCCTTAATAATGTGCCTTGGAAACAACAGATGATGGCCCAAGTACTTAGGCCTCGCCACCCACATGGGAGACCAAGATGGAGTTCTTGGCTCCTGGTTTCAGCCTGGCCCAGCTGCAGCTGTTGCAGGCATTTAGGAAGTAAACTAGAGGACAGAAAGACTCTCTCCCTCTCCCCCGTCCCAACATCCCATCATCACTCTGCCTTTCAAATAAAATAAAGGGGCCGGTGCCGTGGCATAGCAGATAAAGCTATTGACTGCAGTGCTGGCATACCCATGTGGGCGCCGGTTTGAGACCCGGCTGCTCCACTTCCAATCCAGCTCTCTGCTATGGCCTAGGAAAGAAGAAGAAGATGGCCCAAGTCCTTGGGCAGCTACACCCAAATGGGAGACCTGGAAGAAGCTCCTGACTCCTGGCTTCAGATTGGCACAGCTCCAGCTATTGTGGCCAATTGGGAGTGAACCAGCAGATGGAAGACCTCTCTCTCTCTCCCTCTCTCTCTGTCTTTCTACCTCCTTCTCTCTCTGTGACACTCTGACTTTCAAATAAATAAATCTTTAAAAAAGAAAACAAATAAAATAAAATCTTAAAAAAAACCAGTCCAGGTTAGCAATGCTATTGCCTTCAACTAGGTGGTAGTGGTGGTTAATGATACAATACCAACAGATTTGGCATGATTTTGGAAACATGACTTCTAGTGGTTTTAGTGGTTTGAATAAGTTTCAGTTTGTAAGTTTTTTTTTGTTTGTTTTTTGTTTTTTGTTTTTTGTTTTTTTTTTTTTTTTTTGACAGGCAGAGTGGACAGTGAGAGAGAGAGACAGAGAGAAAGGTCTTCCTTTTGCTGT